TAGCTAAACTGAGGCACAAGCATGCAACACATAGAAATAAAGACTTTAATATTAAAATAATTAAGAATAAACATTTAAGATACACAAATGCAGTACAAGTAAAAGGAAAAACAATATATATCTTTAAAATAGTAAAATTTAAGTTATGCGTTCAAATATATAGACTAATTTATTGGAACTAAGCTGGAAAAATAAATATGAAAGTCAATTAAAATATAAAACAGGAGATAAAGTTCTTTTTTTAATTTAATTGGTGCATTTTAAGTGTATTTATTTACTGGTTCATATACTTCTGATTTTATTTCTAATTACGTCAGTGTTTGTCCTCCGTACTGCAGAAGCCTGATAATCATCTATTCAATATCAGGTGTGTTGGAGCAGAGAAACCAGTAGAACATGCAGGACTGCGGCCCTCCAGGACCAGGACTGCCCATTCCTGGATGGTCTGCTGTGATTGACAGCCTGTTAGAGGTGATGTGGGCGGGGCTTTGGGACCACACCTGTCTGAAGGGGACGTTGACGCTCGGTGTTGGACTCTCCACGCCCTTCAGCTCCTGGAGGAGAGCTTCAGCGCTGCCATCAGCATCCAGCGAAACTCCAAACTCCTCCTCCCAGACGTCCATCACTCGGTCCTGGATGCTGTCGGGTCTCTTCCCGGGCATCGCCCACGGATGACCGGAGACACGCGAAGCAGGACAGAAGACGTCCAGGTCCTCCAGAGACACGGCCAGCAGCTCAGCGGCACACAGATACAGCCTGTGGACCTGCGGAGGAAACACAGATTAAACATCTCCCGGTGCAGGTTTCAGGAGGGAGCGGGTCGGATACGGACCAGCAGCTCGCCCTGGGAGCTCAGGACTTCCTGTGCCCCGACCCAGTCCTGAGCTGCGGCCAGGTCTTTGGCACATCTCAGAGCCAGGGACTGAGCCAGGACCTSCTCACCGGAGATCCTGGCCAGACGAGCCGCCGCCTTCAGAGAGGAGACGTCGTTCTTCCTGGAGATGACCTTCGCTGCATCGAAACTGCAGCCGGCGGCGAGGTAACTGAGGCCACACAGAGCAGACCTGGTTAGCTTCTACAAGTAGCTAAAAACTATTAGCATTTTATGCTAAAACACAGCAAGAGTGCTAAGAGCTGAAACTGAAAGTATGGATCTAAATTATAGCCATAAAGTTAAAAAATATGTATGTATTATACAATTAATGAAATATGGCAGATGTTTGTATGAAATAATAAAAAATATAGCATGCCATTCTATAATATAATTAAAAAGTTAGGGCACGCCGTTGACATAATTTTAAAATATGGCATGTCGTATTATATAATTAATGTATGTCAGGCCATTATGGCATATAATTAATGCGTGTCAGTTCACTGTGCCATACATTTGAAGCTGTACGGCAGGTTGTGCTGTAATAAAAATATGGCAGGCCATTCTATAATATAATTAAGTTAGAGCAGGCCGTTTTCATAATTTTAAAATATGGCAAGTCGTATTATATAGTTAATGATTGTCAGTTCACTGTGTCATACATTTAAAACTATATGGCAGGTTGTATTGTTATAAAAATATGGCAGGCCATTGTCTGATATAATTAACAAATTAGGGCAGGCCAATGTCCTAATTTTAAAATATGGCATGTCATATTATATAATTGTCAGTTCGCTGCGTCATACATTTAAAGCTATACGGCAAGTTGTACTGTAATAAAAATATGGCAGTCCATTATATCATAAAATCGAAACAAACTTCTTTTCAGTTTTAAAATTTTCCTTTCAGTTTCAAAGTTTTTTCTTTACAGACACAATTTAGCTCCATATAAAAGTAGCTAAAATGAACCAAACTGCAGCTAAAGTTTGAATAAATCTCTGAGGAATTTTAAAATAAAGTGAAATGTTTTACAGCTCTGGGTCCAGACCATTTAGCAGCTGCAGATAAATGTCCATCTTTCTCCAGGACGGCAGCCCAACACGAGTACAGGTCCTTCAGGACGGGTTCTTCTGCTGGCAGCCGGGCTTTGACCAGAGCGATGGCCTCTCTGACAAACAGAACGGCTCGGTCACAATCAGAACCTTTTATCAGAGCAGCAGTAAAAGATGAGAGGATGAAGACCTGTAGAACTTGTTGGACCTCAGCAGGTCCACGGCCTCGTACAGCTTGTTAATGGACAGCAGGTGAGACGCTGCCTTCAGGTGCTGCTCCTGCAGACTCAGCTGCTTGACGTAGGCCTCCACCGTCTGGCTCCACACCCTGAAACCAGCTGCAGAACATTCAGACGTCACATCTTCTGTGTGCCACCAGGGGGCGCTCTCAGCTCGGATTGATCCCTACAGTGAAGCAGCCGCTGTGTTTCTCGTAGATATATAAAGGCTAGATAAGTCGACCCCACTGTTGACCAGTGGAGACCAGCGTCCTCACACGGCGGCCATCTTGGTACAGGGCCCACTCTTGACATGAATGTGTGTGGTGTTTTTACTGTTTAAATAACCATAACTTGGTCAGTTTTCATCAGATTTTTAAACAGATTTTTTTTGTTGTAAAGGTGAGG